GGAAAGATAAAATGCTCCTCCTCCTAATTCTAAACATGTACTTAAGTTAGTGGCAAACAACATGCAATTCTTTCTCCAAGAATGAGCCAAATACTATAAATGACATTCCACGACATTTTTTTCCATCCCAGATATAAATACCAGATATATAGTTTTTCAGTCACGGAAGACTGGAAGCCCTTTCAGCTAATTAAACAATGAAAAATAAATTACTGTTTCTGTCAGTGCTGATAAATGTAAACATACAATTGCATCAAGCAATTGTCCGAGAAGGCAAAACCAAGAGGTACCTGTGCACTTAAAAGCACATTATTCAACATTACATGCAGGTTCAGCCCTGCAAGACACTTTCATACTTTGCTGGCCAAAGGCCAGAGTATAGAATATCCTGCAGGATTAGTCACTTTCTTTTAATTTAACTGAACTCCTGTCACGCTTAAAGTTACACTTGGAGTCACATGCTTTGTTGATCTAGATGAATATTTATATTTTGCAAAAATAAGCATTACAGAAAGCCAAATATTTGGTGGAGCCTGTACCTTCACACACACAATGTGTGTAGCTTGACTGATGAGATGGCAATGATTTTAAAAAGTCATTCACAAGGAAAATTGCTGATGTATTATGGTTGGAAAAAAACAAGCCCATAAAGGACCCAACCATGTACTTCTTGCATATCAAGATATCACTGAATCAAAGCCATTGGTATGAATAAGACTACAGGGTAAGTTGCAGTTTAATATCTTCCCACCTCTATTTTTCTTGCCCTCTTATCAAGGAAGATTTTTCAGAACAAGAAAGAAAACAACTGTCAAGCTAAAATGATTATACAGATTAATTTATGAGGTAATCTTCTGGTTTTTAGTACACCCATTGGAATTTAGGAATTTTTATAAAAGAAATTCCACTTTTAATACTGGAAGGGTTTAGAAGGGTCTTTTAATTAGCACCACTGTAAAGAAATCACAAAATGAATACAAGTTATTGCAAAATTCTGCAAAATCAGAAGGTGTTTAGGTACATCATTTCACATAAGCTGAAAGGCCCATTCCTTTTGGAAATATTTTTACATATTTCAAAATGAAGCAAAAAACCCCTGTTTCAAACAGCTTGGCCACACTAAGATTTAAAATAATCCTGGTTTTCAATTTCTATAGCTGATCAAAATCTGACTA